AGCCTCTCTCTCTTTCTAATTTTTCTTTTCTTCTTTGTTATACACCAAATTGATCCTTGAAGTTTTTGGTTGTTTTATTTATTTATAACACGTTATATATCATACATAGTTGTAAAACAGCAATGAAACATGAGATAAGATCATTTAACCGGACAACCATCAACAATTACTCCTCTAGCGGTTGGACATTTAGCTAGATCACAATGTTCACCTCTTGTTCCCCACCAATCCAAACTCTTCTCCTCCATCCCCACCGAGAAGTACAACAAAACCGCCATGAACGCTACACCAGCGTCCAAGGCGGCTGAGAGCACGTAGTTATACCTTTGCCACCAACTTTTCCGGTACCGGAACACAAACAAGTTGAATATCGTCCCGACCAAAATCCACGAATTGTAGTTCACCGCGGTCGCTGGTGGCATCATTGCGGTTGCTCCTAGAAGAACCGGGAGATTCACTAGTGGAATCCAAGAACGTTTTGGGAACGCTTTGTGGCATAACCAAACAATGACCGGTCCTATCGCTCCACCAAGGAAGAACCAGTTCATGGCCGGGTAGTTTCCTTGAGAGCCAAAGATCCGTTTTGGTCCGACCAATCCCCAAATGACTGATGCATCGAAGAAAACACGGTCACCGGGACATGTCCATGGACTGTTGGGAGGTAGAAGTTCTTCTTGACATATGTTTTTGATAGATTTTAATTGCCACCACGCGACCGTCATGTTGATTGTTCCAGAAAGAATTGTACCGATGAATTGAACCAAGAACATAGATCTTGGTGGAATCTTCATGTAATGACCAAGTTTGAAGTCACTTAAGAAAGAGACAGCTTGTGCCATACTCATGTATCCATAGACTTTGAAACATACGTTTGCTATAGGTCGTCCCGGGTAAATGATTCCCATGGCATATTCCGTTATTATATTCAATCCCGGTGTCTGAAAAAAGGGTAAACAAATGAATAGCTCGTTGTAAAAAAAGAAAAAGAATTTAAGGATTTTATTGGTCAATATTTGCTTACTTGGTTAGTTGTTGCGGTTATGATGCTGATCGGAAGTGTGAAGAAAAAAGCCATCGCGCTTGCGAAGACAAGTCCCCACCATGGCATTTGAACCTCGTCGTTCAAGAAAACACATAACGCAAGAGAGACAAGAAGTGTAGAAGCTAACATTGAGTAAAACCACCATGAAGGTATGTCTTTATATCTTTTCATTAACCTAGTGTGTATATCTTCTTTGCCTTTGAAAGAAACTCGAAACCTCTCGGAAATTTCCCTGTTGAGAAAAAAAAAAAATTATTTGGTCATTTAGTCATATATGCAATATATTACCAGGATTATGTTACGATGCTTATAATTTTACCTGCCATAGAAGAGAGCTACATGAGTGAGTGTAGAAGCAATGGTGGCGAAACCAAGCCCATAACTAAGAGCAAAGAACATACTCAAGTTGATCCTTCCTTGTTGATCATACTTAGCTATATCGAGCTCAAACTTATCATTCACGATCGCCGGAATATCATATTTCTGACCAACCGATGTGAACAAATGCGATGAAAATATAGGAAACCTCTGAGCGTTGTAAGAATCAAATCCCCAATACGCTATAGGCAACACGAGGTAGATCAAAAGAACATAACCGATGAAAACATTAGCGATGGCGAAGAACGGGCTAATGAGTGGACTGAACAAGAAAGAGGCAACCGCGGTCCAGTCGAGTGTAAAGGCTCCAAGACCGAGTCCTCTCATTCCCGAACCGATTTGTTGAGCAGTGACTGATCTTGGAAATGCCCAACAAATCCATGAGATGCTTGTGAGTGTTGTGAAGAGATAGCCAGGGACTATGTACCATCCGAAACTGCAAACTAATGCTATTACAAAGAATTTTGCTCTTGTCATCCTTTGCTCATCCTTCTCATGCAATGCCCTACATGCAATTTTTTTCATATATCAACAAAACGATTAAGGGAGTATTATGAAATGATTATAGCAAATACTAATAATTACTACGCTTTATGCATATACCAAGAATTTTTTTTGATTTTTTACTCAGATATACTTTGGACTATAAATTTTTGGTTTATAAACGGATGTGATATGATAAATTTGTGAAACAAAGACACATATTTATGTGATTCACCAATGGCTACATCCAAAGGCAAATAGAGACCAAATTATTCTTGGAGGCAAAAAATTCAAAACACAATATAACTATAGATTAGCAACAAAAAATCAAGAGTATTTCAAAATACAAAGTAGATATTCATCTAATGATAACATTTAATTTAATTTTTCAAAAAAAAAAAAACATTTAATTTAATTCATTGTAAGGTGATCATTTAAAATATTGTAGGACGTCTACAACGGACTAAGTTTCTGACTACGTCTTCTAAAAGTTATATAATTAATGAGATTATTGTTTCTTCGAATTTTAGTAGATCTTGCCTCTTGACAGCAAAACCATCCTGCGACTTCTAAGACCCTAACGTCTAGTTAGTTATATTGGAGGCAAAATTTTTAAAATACAAACTAGATATCTAAGAATTTCGTAATCTCCCATTAATTCTCTGTTTAATTCAATGTTTTGAAA